CCCGCGGGCTCAGGCAGTCCACTCGCCGGGGTTGCCGGCTGAGCCACCGAGTCCAGCCAGCTTTTTTGGGTTCTATGGAGACGAGGTGTCCCTGTGTTGTCCGGGCTGGTCTCACACTCCTGGACTCAGCCTTCTTCCCAGCCCAGCCTCCCACAGTGCTGGTCTGACAGGCCTGACTACCTGGCCCAACCTGTCTACAGGCTGTTAAGAGAAACCCGCTTGGGATGGCTTTGGTGGAGAGGGCACAGAATGCAGGTGTCTCGCGGCCACCTGGGGTGCAGGGCACCCCGACCTCGGGGACGGCCCTAACTGAGGAGCCTGTCTGGCTCCTGTTTTGTCCCCAAATTCCTTCTCTGAATTTCGGCCCTGGCTGGTGGCAGTGGCTGCCCCAGCTTCACCAGCTACAGAGCCGCTGTCTAGAGCCAAGTCCAATCCCACAATCTCTGGAGAGGGAGGATCCCATGACCCCTCCGCACCCCACACACAGGGCTCTGGCCCTAAGTCAACCCATGGGCTCCTCCCGTCCGGTCAGCTGTGGCGCTCCGGGGGGGTCATAGGACCCCAAATGGCCGGGCTGTCCTGGCCTTGTAGCCCTCTCGGGGCTGTGGGTAGCCCAGTGGCGTTGCCTGATTGGGCATCCTTAGAACTGCAGGGTGAGATGTTCGAAATTGGGTTGCACCGGAGATGAGTGTTCTGTTTCTTCAGGCGTGGAAAGGTGTTCCCTGGGGTTGGATGGACAAGTCCTTAGATCTCCCCCCAGGGACATGTAATCCCTCAGCCTCATCCTTGTTGCTGGTAAAGGCAGAAACTGCCCGTTCTTAGAAAGAAAATCCTTCTGTCAGAGGATGTCTGAGGTTCAGAAGGTGGGGTCTTCCCTGGATTCGACTCATTCAGGGCCGGGCCTAGCCCGTCCTGGATGACCTCTATGTAAATTTTTAAAGACCTGCTTTCTCGAGACACGGTACTGCCATCTGCTGGGGAAATTGTCATTATGTAGGGATTTTGTTAGAACATGAACAAGTGTCTCCCAGAAAAGTGTAATAAGTCAACACGTCAGTGATACGTTTTCTTTTTTGTTGTGGTTTTTTGAGTTGGAGTCTCACTCTGTCGCCCAGACTGGAGTGCAGCCTCGACCTGCTGGGCTCCAGCGATCCTTCCGCCTCAGCCTTCCGAGTAGCTGGAACTACAGGCACGCACTACCACGCCCGGCTAATTTTTTGATTGATTGTAGAGATGAGGTCTCGCCAAGTTGCCCAGGCGGGTCTCGAACCCGCGGGCTCAGGCAGTTCACTCACCTCAGCCTCCCAAGGTGCGGGATTACAGGCTGAGCCACCGAGCCCGGCTTAGTGATACGTTTTCAAGCGGATGGTGCCTCCTAGGTCTGTGCGGCCCAGGACCTGCACACCTGTGCCTGGCTGCCCTGGCTCTCAGTCTACCTCGGGTGGATGTCGGGATATGCCTCCTTCCTCATGTGGCTCTGCCCATGTTTCTTGAATCTTACCTCTCTGCATCCCACACACAGGGCTCTGGTCCTAAGTCAGTCCATTTGATCTGGTTTCACTTTGATGGAACTGAAGAGGGGAGGGGTGGAGTGTTTACGTTTGTCAGAGTGAAGAGCCTGTAACCAGGGCCAGCCTGAGCCAGGTGCCCAGGGGCAGTGTTCAAGCAGGCATTTCCCCAGCACAGACCCAGAGCTGATCCCACCAATAGCGAACACCTCCGTGCAAGACAGACAAGCCTTCCTTTTGCTTTGACCAACCCCTCCCAGCCCTTCTGAGAGCCTGACTCTGGTGATGGTCGCATCCTCTCTCTCCTTCCAGGCAGGACTTAAGCAAGGGAGAAACATCCTGGCCACAGGTTGAGCAGTGACGGGGTGCCCTGGTCACTAGCCACGTGTGACTATTTACACTGGTTATCAAGGAAAATAATTAAAATAAAACATCCAGATCCCCGTTGCACTAGCTGCATTTCAAGTACTCGAGAGCCATGTGTGCCTGTGAGGACCCTGCATAGCAGACCCTGCCGATGGGGACCGGTTCCATCATGGTGGAACATCCAATTGGGCCGCGCTGCTTTAGAAAGGGGGTCAGCTGACTGTGGCCAAATCTGGTGGCGGCCTGTTTTTGTGAATAAAATTTTATTGGCACATGGCCACGCCCATTTGTTTACTCTTTGGCCCTTTATAGAGAAAGGCTTGCCAACCCCTGGCCTAGAGCAAGCTTTTTAAAAATTTTTTAGCCGGCTCGGTGGCTCAGCCTGTAATCCTGCGCCTCTGGGAGGCTGAGGTGAGTGGATTGCCTGAGCCTGCGGGTTCGAGACCCACCTG